AGGTTAAAAAATGACAGCCTTTTGCTTGGGCTGTCCACTGCGGTGGAATGGGAGGGTGCACAGAGCCTCCCCCCCCCCCGCCGTTCTTACACGTCTGGGTGAGGAGGCTATGGAACATGGGGGGGGGGGTATACAGGGGCTGTAGCACCAGTCTATGGTCCTCCTGCTGTTCCTGAAGCTCCACCAGTCGCTGGAGCATGTCTGTTTGCTCATGCAGCAGCCGCAGCGTTGCATCCTGCCTCCTCTGATCTTCCTGCTGCCACCTCTCATCTTGAGTGTCTCTCCTCTCCTCATGTTGGTCCCTCCTGTCCTCACGTTCACTGGCATCTTTCCTATACTTTGAAACTGTGTCCTTCCACTCATTCAGATGAGCTCTTTCACTGCGGGTGGATTCCATGATTTCCGCAAACATCTCGTCTCGCGTCCTCTTTTTCCGACACCTTATCTGAGATAGCCTTCGGGACGGAGGAGGGAGGATTGAAAAATTTGCAGCTGCTGGAGGGAGGGAAAAAAGGAGAGAATTTTTTAAACAGATACATTTTATAGAACAATGCTTATACTCTTTCATGGTGAACAACACTATTCACATTACATAGCACATGTGATTTCTGTGCAAGGTCGCATTTTGCCTCTTAATATTGAATACCTGTGGCTTTGCTGCTAGAGATCACAGATGCAGGTCCGGGCAACAGAATTCGGCTTGCATGCGGCCATTGTAAGCCATTGTCTTTCGGCTTCTGCGCCCTCCTTTCCCACATACCAAGCAAAGCCCGTTGAGTGCTGCGGTTTTCCTATTAACATTCAGCAGCAGAAAACAAACTAACGCCCCCACATCCAATTCTCTGGATGATCAATTTACCCCTCCCCCCACCACGTGGCTGGTATCAGGGAAGATCCCTGCTAGCCAAACGTGAAAAGCTCAGGGCCAGTTCCGCCCCCCCACCCCCCGCACTTGGTTAACTGCAGGGAAGGATTTCTTTTCAGCCACAGGCAAACAGCCCAGTAAGAACGGCCACCTCTGTCCTCTTAATTAAATTCCCGTATTTCAACCAGGTTACCATGAGCGATATCACTCTCCTGAGGATTACACAGCGAGATAAAGAACGGATATTGCTTGAATGCCAGCAAACACCGGGACCATACACTGCCAGGCTTTGTCATGCAATGATACCAAATTACTTGCTACTAGCATGGCATGGTCAAGTGTCCTACCATGGAGGACGGAATAAGGCTGCACTGCCCAGAAACCTTGTGGAAAGGCTTTTGGAGTACCTCCAGGAGAGCTTCATGGAGATGTCCCTGGAGGATTTCCGCTCCATCCCCAGACACGTTAACAGACTTTTCCAGTAGCTGTACTGGCCACGAATGCATCCCAAGTCCTCAGGGCAAAGTAATCATTAAAAAACACTTGCTTTTAAAACAAGTTTTATATTTTAAAAGGTAAACTCACCTGAGGTCCCTTCCATGGGGTCATTGGTCTTGGATACTGGCTTGGGAGGGTACTTCAGGCAGGCTGAGAAAAAGATCCTGGCTGTTGGGGAGAACGGAGTGCTGTGTGCTCTCCACAAGCTCATCCTCCTCCTCCTCCTCTTCCCTGTCCGCAGAATCCTCAGGTGTGGCTGATGAGATTACCCTCGCCTCAGAATCCACGGTCAGAGGTGGGGTAGTGGTGGCTGCCCCGCCTAGATGTGCATGCAGCTCCGCGTAGAAGCGGCATGTCCGCGGCTCTGACCCAGAGCGACCGTTTGCCTCCGTTATTTTTTGATAGGCTTGTCTGAGCTCCTTGACTTTCACGCAGCACTGATCTGAGTCCCTATTATGTCCTCTCTCCATCATGCCCTTGGAGATTTTTTCAAAAGTTTTGGCATTTCGTGTTTTCGAACGAAGTTCTGCTAGCACTGAATCCTCTCCCCATATAGCGATCAGATCCAGTACCTCCCGTACGGCCCATGCTGGTGCTCTTTTTCGATTATCGGCCTGCATGGTTACCTGTGCTGATGAGCTCTTTGTGGTCACCTGTGCTGTCCTGTGCTGGGCAAACAGGAAATGAAATTCAAATGTTCGCGGGGCTTTTCCTGTCTACCTGGCCAGTGCATCCGAGTTCAGATTGCTGTCCAGAGTGGTCACAATGGTGCACTGTGGGATAGCTCCCGGAGGTCAATACCATCGAATTGCGGCCACACTAACCCTAATTCGAAATGGCAATATCGATTTCGGCGCTACTCCGCTCGTCGGGGAGGAGTACAGAAATCGATTTTAAAAGCCGTTTATTTCAAAATAAATGGCTTCGTTGTGTGGACGGGTGCAGGGTTAATTCGATTTAACGCTGCTAAATCCGAATTAAACTCATAGTGTAGACCAGGCCTTAGTATCCATGCAACACAGACATGATCTCTGTATTCCAGGTCCCATTAAAGAGACTCACTCATACAGAAGTACTCAGTTTATGTTTCCTTGGCATGGTATAGCAAAAACCTAGATAGATAGACGTTAAGGGCTTGGTGGTCCCTTCTAAGGCTTTGAAACTGTAGTTCCGTGAAGTACAGGTGTTTCAAACCTGGTCCCTACGCCATCCTTTCTCACTGATGCTTTACAGTCACCTATTTTTTCCTTTGTTTTTCTGCCATTAATCATCACTGCTTTATTAATATCAAACAATGTTGCATCCTATTGTTACTAGGTGATGGAGCTAATGATGTCAGCATGATCCAGGTGGCAGACGTGGGTGTGGGGATCTCTGGTCCAGAGGGCATGCAGGTAATGTGGGTTGTTTATTGAAAAAGTTTTCCCCAGGAAAAAGTTTTCCCCAGGAAAAAGTTGGACCAAATGTTTTCCGTATGTCTGCTTGCATCTTGCCTCCCAGTCAGTGAGAGCAAGTTACCTCTTGACAGACAGCAAAAGTAAACGAGCACGTTGCAAGCTGCCCTGAGGTGTACCAGTTGGGATTTGTAAAAAATCACTTATGCTTGAGTTCAAGCATATGTTTCTTATCCAATCTGTGGTGAGCTTAAACATTTTACATTCACCTCATAAAACACAAATTACAGGAGGTCTTTTGGCACATTTACTTCTTAAAGAAATCAGTTATTAATTTGAAAAAGCCCTCAGCTATGTCCTATTTCTATAATAAATAAAGATTAAATTGACTTCCCCCTCTTTCATTTTCCTCCTCTGGCTTTTATTCTTCTGATCTCCTGCACTGGTCCTGTAAAATTATCCTCTGGTGTGGCTGGACAAATCTATTTACCTAAAGCAGCTAAGATAGGTGGCACTGAAGAGTATAAGCCTCAGAAGGCTGCATATCCCACTTGTGCTCCAAGCCAACTTATTGAGACAATATGCCTAAGTAGTGCACAAGGCCTGCTCTCCTCTCCCTGCTGGCACATGCAGGTCGGATATGAGTTTTGCTCTACAGCCCTTGGAATGTGAGTAGCTGCAGCGAGAGTTAAGGGAGTGCTAGTTTGGGTGGCGAGGGGAGCTCAGCCCCCTGATTGTCATACAGTCCATGTAAAACCTTTTCTCTGTTTGTCTGTCAATCAGCTGGGAAGAAGCTGCCCCTGCTGAGATTTTTTGGGGATTCACTCAGTATGCCTGTGTCTCTAGCCATCATTCCAGACCGCCTGATTGCTATATATGGCAGGGCAGTTGGGTAGTAAAAGATGAAACCTTGGGCTAAGACTGAAATAGGTTTTTTTTAACAGGGCTTTCTGCTGTAATCAGGACGAGAGTAAGGAGTAAACTCGGCAGATGCTGAGCCTGGGAGCCTCACACAGCTTCCCCAGGCTTTACAAGCATGGGGGGACATTTGGGTTGAATAGAGCCTAACAAGCGTGGAATCCTGAGCAGGCTGTTGTATGAGGGCCCATTCCAAGGCCTACTGAAGTCAGTGGGAGTCTTTCCATTGCACTTTGAATCGGCTCCTAGCATCTCTGCGTGAACTCAAACCCCTGATTTCTCATGAACATCATGTTAGTTCCCAGATATAATACTCCACGTCTCTCGTTCTCTCTGTCTCTTCTTTTTCCTCCTTCCAATTCCTCTTTTCAGTTGATCTTGTAATTCTGGGACATCTGGTCTTTCAGTGTCCCTAGCCATTTCAGTGCATTCTGCTCTGAAAGCTTGTCACTTCGCTTGTTATTCCATTAAACCACCTGGATTATTTCTCTTTTTATGTTTATTTTTTAATGAATGTTCACACATAGTGGGAAGGGTTATGGATCCCCTGCCTTTGATCGCAGGGTTCTGTAGGAAATCATGCATGCCTTTGTATAATAAGCAGCTGTCAAAATTGTATACATGCAGGTACTTCAAAGGAGTCAAGCATCTGGATCTCTCAGACAGCAAACTGGCTGATTTATTTTTCTTTCACATGCTATGGAAGGAGCAGCATGGAGCATGAACCACGCTTTCCTATGCAAAACCTGGGGGGTGGAGGAGAATGAAAATGTCAAGTCCAAGCTGATATTTTGGGATAAGATAAACATGCAAGTGTAATTGGATAAAACTATCTTTCCATTCCTTCCTCCATATCAAAAATAGACCTTTAAAAACTCTTAGAATGTGTTTTGGAATAATTTGGTGGAAACACAAAATAAAGAAGAGTAAACAATTTTACCTCATCATTCCATAATAGAATTAGAAAATGGGTAGGGGCGAAGGAAACAGATGTAGGCATCCTTGTGAATGAATAAGACAATAAACAAAATGTAAATTTAAAAAGCAATACAACTGTAGGTGGAATCTGTGGCCAACTCAATGCCCTGGAGGGATCTAAAGCAACTGATATCCTGCTCCATTCATGGTGAGGTCTTAAATCTTGGGCATACTTTACCTTGAAATTTAGGCAGTCAAAAGTAGTTATGATATAGAAAGAAATGGTGGTGATTCATACCATAGATGTGATTTGGCAGGTTCTAAAATTTCAGGGGAACCTCTTCTGTAATGATTTCTCACAATTTAGGGAACATGAATATAGTTAAAACAAATTTCCTCAGAATACTGAGATCTCAGGGGAATGTGGGTTGGGCAAATCTTTGCAAGTCAAGATCATGATCATTAATTAAAATAAATTATTTGGGTGTTTTGCCTTTTTAACTCCACTAATTGTAATGTAGCATATTATTATTTATCTCAGTCATTTGAATCCCTCCTGAAAACTCCCTTCTTCTGCACAAAATAATACTGTCTTCTTTGTATTTCTTAAAAAGAGAAAAGCTCACAGCCATCATCTATGAGCATCTGTGCAATCGCACAACTATAACTCTTGGTCCTTCCTCACCCCACTTCCTTCCTATGGTTTGTCACTCATGTCACCATCTGTAGTAGTGTAGATTGTGATCTTTTAGGAGCAAGGACACTGTCATTTTGTGTATTCTCTGAAGCACCTGGTTTGCTTTTAGGCACTATAAAATTATAACGATTTGTGAAAGCATTGAGGAAACAATGGGCCAGACTCTTTCACTTGCACCAGGGTGTAACTAATCCAACTCCATTGGACTTTAATGGAGTTACTCTTGCTTTACATTTGTGGATGTTTGCAGGATACTCAAATGCACTGTCTGTGTGTCTTAGGTGACACTTTACAATAATGATTTCAACTCTTCTTTCATTGAAGGCAGTGATGGCGAGTGACTTTGCAGTCCCAAGATTTCGGCATTTGGAAAAGCTCTTGCTTGTTCACGGGCACTGGTGTTATTCCCGGCTTGCCAATATGGTGCTGTATTTCTTCTACAAAAATGCAGTAAGTGTTTGACTTGACAGTTTTGTGGCTCTGCGTGTTTCCAGGGTTTATTTTGTGTGAAATGCGTATGAGGTCAGCCTTCAAATGGTTTATAAATAAGCTGCAAAGAAGCTTGCAGAGTTGAAAGACAGCTGGCTGCCATTCACAGGAATAGAGGCCCCACTCTGTGACAGCGACAGTGTGCTGCAGAATGTGCAAATTAGGTAACATGTATAAGAAGTGCTGCTTAACAAAAGTTTCTTTATAGAGCAGTACCTTTCGCAAAAATCTAGCTGGCTAGATATAGGAGCCTTTAACGCCAAGTCCACCCTGTGCTGGTCAGAAGTAGTAGTGGATGTGTTTTCTCTTCCTAATCCTGTTTTATAATTCCTTGTGCAAACTGTAAATTGTCCCCAGTGATCTGAGCTAATTTGGGCCATCTATACTTATCAGCCAAGCATATTGGAAGTGTTTTTTTTCCCCTGACTTCCTTCAGCCAAATAAATACACTGTGAAAGGAGCACACTGCAATACATATCCAAGTATGGGCCTGAATCTCCTCCCAGTTACACCAGTGCCAGTCATGAATAACTCCATTACTAGATACGGGGTTATTAGAAACCCACCTCCTCAGCCCTGCCTGAGTCCCTTTGTATCACTCACACAATACTCAAAGATGCAGCTGAGGATTCCTTTAGCACAGAAGAATCATTGACCATGTGCCAAAGGTTGCTGATCCCTGTCTCAGTCCAAAGGTAACTTTTAATTGGCATGGGACAGGACTGTATTTTTCCTCAAATTGCTGACCAGGATAGAAACACCGTGTGTGCTAGGTAAATAATAAAAATAATCATTGGTTGAACTATATTTGCATTAACATGGGCACGATAAAAATATTCTAAGCCTGTTCTGATCAAGAATGTCACACTTGCATGCATTCAAAAAATAATCAAAGTAAACACTTCCAAATTCTGAAGTTCTAAAGATCTCACTGAGCCTTAAAAAGCAAGCCAAATTTGAAAAGTTGGCCTATCCTAGTGCTGCTACCATTGGTGGAGCTGCACCTGTGGTAATGCAATGGCAGGAAACTTACAGAAAAATGCTGGTGTACACAGGCTCATGGTTCTAGGCTTGATCCTGAAATGTGCTGAGCATCTGCGCCTTCCTATCCATATATTTCTGTTGTGCCCATCACCGTGATAATACTGAACCTCATCAATGAAAGTGGAATATTATACTTTCAGAGAAGTGGATTCAGAGCAATTTTATTTTTAAATCAAAACACTCTCAAGAAATATATGTAAGTACATTCCAATGATCAGCATGCAAGGATTCAATTTATACATTTGCATTTTTGTTCAATACTTGTAAAATCTTACATTCCAATACACCCCTTTCCCCATCCCCAATTACAAGTGTTATTTTTTCATGCTGTATTTAGTAAGACATCCAACTGCAGACATTTTCTGAAGCTGTTGCCCCCAGGCTTGAATGAAATTTAAGAATTTCTGTTTGTGTTTGCTCTGCTTCTGCTGTCTTCAGAGCCCGTAAGAGCAATCCCAGTTGTTACCAACCCTGAAACCACAGTGGGAAATAGAATTTATAGACCTGAATGTGTCAGACATATAGTAGCTTCCCTCAGGGAAGGAGAATTCTAACTTCTTCTAAGATGCAAGTACCGGATTCATTCACAGGGAGACCACTCTTGATGAATTGTCTACAGGGAATCAAGATAACTGTGCTGCATACATTCTGCTAGATCTCTATCTCCTCGGGTTTTTACATTTGCTTGTATTGTGTCAATTTCCATTCTGCAGTAGAACTTATCTAGCTCATAATTTAAGCCTCGGATTGCTGCAGAAACCACGCTGCAGGATTCCCAGCTGGTCATATGGCTGCTTCGGGTGGCGTATAAAAGGAAGGGAAATGGGTCAAATGGGAGCTAAGGGAGAGGGCACAGCCTCTCCTCTCCTAGCTAGTTAAAGCAGGGAAAACCTTTCAGGAATGACAGCCAAGTATTTTCAGTTGATTTGCTTTAAATTTTTGTAATTCTTTGGTGAATAATCAACGAGTCTGGAGAACAGGGACGTAGAAGGACTGAGGCTTGGAGCTTTATTTCCTTCCCTGGCTGTAAACCTGCTCAGCAGTTTACACCTCCCTTTTCTAGGATTCAAGCTGTGGCATCCACTCTCCTCTCCAAGCTGAAACAAGCATGTCCTCATCTCCAGACACACTTTACCTCCATTTATCGGTAGATACATCACTAACAGCTGGGCTCTGTAGTTTAAATGAACCCCAGCTGTTCTACGGACACTTCGGCCTTGCTGGTCTGGTTGTCTATCCCACATACATGGTAGCAAAGTGGGTTGTGTATTTTGTCCATCCCTGGGTGACCCCAACCTAGCTGGAGGCATCATTCCCAAGACCAGGGTCATCACACTCCCTCAGTGTGAATGATTTACCTTTTCATTTTAAAGTGAGGATTGTAGAATGATACATCTCCAACCACTGTTAATCTGATTAAATTGAAAATCAAAGATATTGTGGTGGTCAAATCAAACACAACTTCACTGCAATGTATAGTTCTATCCTCCTGGCTGTGCTCTTCTCATTACAGTCTTGAAAAGATCTGAAATGCCCAGTTATCCTCGTGCTATCTACTTTGCCTTTGTGAGCTAGCTAAGTCTCCAGAAAATTCTCAAACCAACACAAGATATTGAAATAGAAACAGGATCCTTCTTATGACAGTAATAAACAACACAAAGAGATCTACATTCATGAAATATATGTGGAATTCCACAAAAAATGGCGTCATTATTGATTTATGTTTAGCTGCATTTTGTATTCGAGAGTTATAATTGGATTGAAAATTAATTTCATGTGAGGCAAAAGCCCCAGTTGTATCCAAGACCACAATCCTGTTAAGATTTATACACATGCTTAACTTTAAGCATGAGTAGTGGGAATGGGAATAATAAATAATAGAAGATCAGGTGTCCTCAGTAAGGACTACTCATGACTTTAAGGTTAAGCACATGTGCAAGTCTTTGCAGAATCAAAGTCAACATGATTTCACAGAGCCATGGAGAGATGATGTACTGATATTTACACTGTTTTTTTTCCTACTTGTTTTAAATTCCTAACTGATCATGCTTCCTGTACTGCTGTTTTGATTGCAGATGTTTGTGGCCCTTCTCTTCTGGTATCAGTTCTATTGCGGGTTCTCTGGCTCTTCAATGATTGATCAGTGGTACCTGATCTTCTTTAATGTATTATTCTCTTCTCTTCCACAACTGGTCACTGGTGTGCTGGATAAGGATATACCAGCTGAAGTGCTAATTGGTGTACCTCACCTCTACAAAAGTGGCCAGAAAATGGAGGTAAAAACTTTGCCTTTCAGAAGATTTTTTCTGATGGTCATGAGTTTAACTGAAAACCAATCTTGGTGGCAAAGGACACAATGGCACCGAATAAAACTAAAGAATGGGAGTCTGAGAAACTGTTTTTCTTGCTTGTTAGCATTTCTAGGTGTAAGTCTACACTGGGATAAAAGACCCACAGCTGGCCACGAGGAGGGAGGGTCTCAAAGCCTGGCTTCCAGTCCAAGCCCAAATATCTCCACTGCAATTTTGTAGCCTTCAGCCAGAGCCCCACAAGCCCCAGTCAGCTGACCCAAGCTCTGAGACTCGGTGTTTTCATTGCAGTATAGACATACCCTAAAATAATCCTAACCAAAATATCTAAATGCCAGAAACTAAATATGCAGAGTCAGAAACCCTTCATGGAAAACACATTGGCTGCAGCCCATTTCTGTGTAAACTGCAAGGAAAGGGGCAGAAGGCCATCAAGCTAGATCACTTGTGCTGATTGCAACTGCAATGTTATCATGAGGGGAGAAGGGTGGCTTCTCGGGTTAGCAAGACTATCATTGTCAAGAGATGTCTTCTTGATCAGAAGCCTTACAACAGCTTCCTCTAAGACAACTGGCACCTTGGCCTCTGAAGGGAGTCATTGACTCTCCCAAGCAACAGTGCACCTAGTGCTTGGTGCATTACATTTCTAGTAATCTATCTAGATGCTATACTTGAAAGAAGAGGTGGAGAATTGCAGAACTGCTCATTTACAATGTGTTTGTCTTTATCTTCTTTTTTTAATCAGCTGTTGTTTCTGGGTTTTATATTTCCATCCTTTGGCCTGCTGCTCCAGAACATTGCAATTAAAGTTCCACCAAATAAATGCCCCTATTTACTTCCCTACTAAAAGATGACAAAAATAGATAGTCACTGATTTCGTTTAAGCTGATTTGGAGGTATTATTTGGTTTTCTTCATTGACAAACCAGTCTAAAGGATGATTGGTTTGGCAAAACAGTCAGCAGATTGACAAGAGAAATCTTTCATGTTCACAGTAGAATTCTTTCTCAAAGTTGAGTCCATTGTCCATTCTGAGGTTCTCTGAATGCTATTAAGCAATTTCATTGAATACATGTCTAAAAAGACTTATAAAAAAAATTTGCTAAACCATTCCTGCTTGTAGGTAGCCAGTAATATCCTCACTCTTCTCTTTGAAAAAGATTTTAATTGGAGCAGTCTACATGTCGTTTCATTAGACCAAAGAACACAAGAGTTTTATGAAAGTCTCATTTCTAGGCTTAGGAAACCATGAGCTAGGGGGAAAAGGAGCTTAATGAATTCATGAAAAAAAATTATCACAGGAAATGTGTAACCTGCATAAGAACATTAGTAAAATAAATGAGCATTTTACCGATCTATGTTTACAAAATGATTTCCTCTGTACCCAGTTGTTCTGTATGATAATTCATGTGAATGTAAAAAATGGTTAAATTATTTATACTAATGGGTTAGTAAAATTCAGTACTGTTTCTTAAGGACTGATTATATTGCTGTGTAAATATTCATTAAATATTGTTGTGGATTTTCCTTTCAAAGTAAGCTGCATACTTTCACATTTAATCTTTCTTGAATATATAGTCTTTCGTTTTATGTGTAGAAGACTTGGGGCCAGATTTTTAAATGAGTTTAAGTGCCTAACTCCCCACTGAAATCAGGCACCAAAATACATTTTAAAATCTGGCCCTTAAACCCCAGTCCTGCAAAGATGTAAACATGTGTTGAAGTTTGAATACCACAAGAATGTAACTCCACTGAAGTCAATAGGACTAATTATAATGCATAAAGTTAGGCATGTATACAAATCGGTGCTGGATCAAGAGCTTAGATCTAAATTATACCCTCTTGTGGAAAAACTCACAGAAGAGGATGCTTTAGAGGCAGAAATTCAGGTCATGGAAATCCCAACTAATCACTCCATCAGGAGGGTGGGGTTTGTTGGCCTCGGAAGGGAGAAGAGTGATGAGGTTGTCTGTACAAGCACTGGAAGAAATACATTTCAATTCAGATTTTTGTCTAGTACTAACAAATGGCTTCTTCGTTAGACTCTTACTGTATGTTTTTGTGTCACAGGAGTACCAACCACACATGTTTTGGATGAACATGATTGATGCGCTCTATCAAAGTCTAGTTTGTTTTTACATCCCTTTTTTCGTAAGTTATCCATTCAGACATCCTATTTCATGCAATGTGAGGAGCAGACCTGAAAATACAGATTAGAGTAAAGCCCCTTTCCTTCTTTTCAGACTTACTATGACTCAGAGGTGGATCTATTCTCCTGGGGAACGCCCATCACCACAATAGCTCTTTTCACCATTATATTACATTTGGCTATTGAAACCAAAACTTGGGTAAGTCATCCACATGGAAATTATATAGGAGCCTTCTGGGATATTTTACCTATTTCCTTAGTATCACTCTTTAAAATCAAGAAAAGCGTGTGTTATTCCCTCAGCACTGTCTATTTTTATCAAGCATTTTAACCAAACATGAAAATGGTTTGAAACTGCGAGCAGTGAGCAGTTTTGTAATCCTGTTTGTAGAATAAGGATTTGTGAGATTACACTGATGTAAATACATTCTGTGCATGGATTTTGTACCAGAAAATTAAAAATCAGTTTTTGTTACTGTTTCTTCTAGACTTTGTTCCACTGGTCATCTTGTATCTTCAGTATCCTTTTATTTTTCATTGTGGCTCTGGTTTATAATGCTTCTTGCCCAATATGTTATCCTCCATCCAATCCCTACTGGACTATGGAAAAATTGATGGGAGAGCCTGTGTTTTACTTGATTTGTATTATATCACCAGTTGTTGCATTACTGCCCAGGTATAGTATCTTCCCCCTGTGTGTGTATATGTTAGTGGCTCGTATACTTTGGGGTGGAATGAGAGGAAAGGCGAAGGGATGTGCCTGAATATGATTTGGGGTGAGGGGCGTTTCTAATTTTTTTCTTTTTTATTGTCAGCCAGCTGAAGTATATTATTAGCTTCATTTGATTATTTAAGGCTGCTGGCTAACAGAGTCCAATTACTTGTGTATTAGTATTATCGCTGCTGGGTAGTTATTGTAGGTCACATTATTGTCAGAGTACTCAGAGCTCTTTGGGCAATCTTTTTATTTTAAATGTCAAATCTAAAGAAAATGAATTAACTGTGGTACTTGCCTGTATAAACTCTCATTCTGTTAAAGTAATTGTATATTCTGTTCTGTGGACATTTTTCTCTTGATAAAATCTCAAGCAGATCCACTTTCTTTGATTTCTTTTCATATGTACATTTTTCCTCCTTCAGATTTCTGTACAGAACCCTTCAGGGGACTGTCTTCCCAACCCAACTTCAACTTGGACGCCAGTTGAATAGATTGCCTCCAGAGACTCGCAACCAGATTCCGAACAGGTTGAATATCAAAAAGGAAACCATTCCCCAGAAACCCCCATGTGCAGAACATTGCCCACAGAATCCTAAGTCAAATGATAGTGATTGTTTTAAGGCCTGCAACCAAACCCCCTCTTCGCAATCATCTCAGTATGGAAATGACCCAGCTTTCCCATCAAATACAAAGGCAGAACACACAACAGGACTGAGTGTTACTGCTTCTCCTCCTGGATCTCTGTTATGTGGGGGGGAAAAACACTCCTCAGTGGCAAACAGTCAAGAACGATCCCTGGGATTTCACGAAATTACTCACAACACTTCAGAGATGGAGTCAATGTCTGTAGAAGAAACGTTCCCATGGAACACAACAGTTGACCAGTCAAGCTTCAGTTTATTGAACTGGATCACATCAACTCCCCTGTTCAGTCGGTTTGGGAGAGTTTTACAACTGTCACCACATCGTTTACAAAATGAAGTACAGGACAACATGTGTGTGCTTGGCTCCATATCTTCTTTGCATCAGGATTTCAAAGGCTTAACAGGGAAGAACTCAAACGACTTCCAGGAACAACTTAAAGGGACCCCAACTAATTTCTGTAAAAGTGAAACTCTTGAAACCACCTTCTTATGACATGGGCCCTGAGTACATTTATATATTTTTTATTTGCACAGATGTATAGTGAAATTACTCTAATTGTTTCCAGAGATGAAACAGGCAATCAAAGGTACAAAAAATTATTTAAAAAATGTTGAAGTGCTGTATATTGAAATAAGAGCTTTAAATATAAAGAAGAAAATACACTTGAATTTTTTTATCTCATTTTATAAGAAAATGCAGGTTGTTTCTTTTTCAGTTGCTTCTCTTTCATTCTGGCAAGTATTGCAAGCAATGGACCTACCTACCTTGTCCAAAAGGTTTGGATTTCAGGAGCAATTATAGACATGATTATAGTTGGTTCAGCAATCAGGGAGGGGGAAAAACATAATGATAACACTACATCCCAGCAGTTTGGATAATTTGTCATCTGATTTAAAATAAAAAATCTCTGTGAGGTCTGACAATCAAGTTTTTAAGGGGAAAACTGCTGGGCAGATCTTTGAAAATATCATAACTCTTTGTAAATATTAACAGTATCTCATCACCGTATAAATACACCAGCATCTTATAAATGTCACCATAATTGAATATCTCCTCAGTAGCATTTTATTTCTCATGATAAAACAATAAAGAAATGACCATCCATAATACAAAGTGGTTGCCCAGTCTGGCGTTAATAAGAGTTCAGTGCTTCACCTGCAGTCAGTAAAAATAGCTTGCATTTGGCAGGTCGGGCCATTCCTTTTGAAAAGAAAAACTGTTTTGCTTTGTAAAGAGATGTTGAGGGGGAAAGTGATTGTATGTTGTATGTGCGGTATGATATAAGTCAGTGGGAACTGAGAGCACTCTCAGCATGCAGCAGTCTGCTCCATTGAAATGCCACAGAACTTGCTGAAGAATGTAGGTCCAGTTTGCTAAAGAATACATGGAGAGCCCTTTGTTATAGATTACAGCCTCTTTCACTTCTAGTCCAGTGACTTGAAGCCCAAGTCATTAGTGGCCATCTTTACCTCGGGAGGCTGTTTTGGATTTGCATCCATAATCACATAGCGTGTGCCATCTCCACACATAAACTAACACAGGATATGGGGATTGGTCCTGCTTTGAGCAGGGGGTTGGACTAGATGACCTCCTGAGGTCCCTTCCAACCCTGATATTCTATGATTCTATGATCTAGTTGTCACGTATTGTCTTTGCAGCTTGAGTTTTCAGAACATCCTATTTTTGTTTACTATTAGTTGTGGAAGCTCAAAACCTGCACACCTCATTCTCTGTGTGTTAACAGGAAATCCCCAGCCATATTGGCTCCCATGGAGTCCCTCAACCTTAAGCTCCAATATTTGCCATACACTGGTTTCTAAGTCTCTCTGGGTATTTTTAAAAGGGTTTCCATGTTGGTCTCTTCCCACAAATGCAGAGAGAATTGGTCATATCAAAATGCAAAACCTGAACAAAGGGAAGAAGTAAAAGCAATATAAATAAAGGGTTACTATCAGGCTTTCTTTACGTTGCCCTGATAAAATGTGACACACAATCATACAGCCAAACTACATTTTGGAATGAGAATATTTCTATCCTCATTATGAAGTAGTTATTGAATGTGCTAAATGTATCCACAACACTCACATATTCTAGCTTTTCATTAAACATGAGATTGACTTGGGGAAGGACTTGTGATTCAAGCAGGGCTTTATCATTTTTATCTCACCTCCAAAAAGAATGTGTTAGGTCTAAAATAGAGGAAATCTCTCTTCTTTTTAATAGATTCTTACTGGCGGAAAGTGTTGTAATGCGTCTACATTCTATGTGGTTACCTTAGGAATCAGGCAATAGATTTCTACACATACTTAGATCACCAAATGCATCCCATAGAATCCTGTTGGAAGGATTCATTTGTCCAATTGATCTTGCAGACATTTAACATGGACTATGCAGCATGTGCCAGTCCAACGAACTCTCCTAGGGGGAGCTACAATCTCTTTTTTTTAATGGCAAAGGAAGTAATGGCTCACCTTTTTAAAGCAATATCAGTGTGAAAATATTGCCGTCTGGGAGAAACATTTCCTCAACTGTAAAACAGGATGTCAGTGTGAAATCCACTCCACCCACATAAAGCCAGAATAGTCAGACACCAAGTGGGTGGAGTTTGGAGAGGCTGGGGCCATGAAATCCACTCCCTGGCCCAACAATATCTGTGGCCAGGGCAGGAGGTGGCTCTGTATGGCCCTTGTGGCTGCGATTGCAGCACAGCTCCAGATGCCCCACGGCAGGTATGTAGGGTGTTGGAGCCAATGGATCCATGTAAATACAGATGGTGTGGCCCTTTCGCTTCTTTCCCTGTCATTATGACTGCATTGTAACAGCACTGGAGCCCTGTTGTGCTAGGCCTGGTTTGTTTACCTGCCATGTCCACAGGTTCGGCCGATTGCGGCTCCCACTGGCCGCGGTTCGCCGCTCCAGGCCAATGGGGGCTGTGGGAAGGGCAGCCAGCACATCTCTCGGCCCACGCTGCTTCCTGCAGCCAGGGCCAGCTCCAGGGTTTTTGCCGCCCCAAGCGGCGATTAAAAAAAAAAAAAAAAAGCCACGATCGTGATCGGCAGCAGCTCCACCACACCGCTTTCTCCTTAGGCGGCAATTTGGCAGCAGGTCCTTCCCTCCGAGAGGGACTGAGGGGCCTACCGCCAAATGGCCGCCGAAGAGCCCGACGTGCCGCCCCAAGCACCTGCTTGCTGGGCTGGTGCCTGGAGCCGGCCCTGCCTGCAGCCCCCATTAGCCTGAAGCGGTGAACCGCGGCCAGTGGAAGCTGCGATCGGCCGAACCTGCGGACGCGGCAGGTAAACAAACCGGCCCAGCCCGCCAGGGGCTTTCCCTGCACAAGCGGCGGACCAGCTTTGAGAACCACTGCTCTGGTCCTTTTCACAAGTTCAGAGGTGATACAGTTGATCCGTGACGCTGGCCCAATTCAGATTACAGTCCACATCGATTTAAGGGCTTTGTTGAGGAAAACAGCTGATTCCATAGCTGCCAGGGAATGAAAGCTCCTCAGGCCTCCCTAGTTACGCAGCTACAGAGGCTGCTTCTGATTTCAAGGGGCAACTTTCTGATCCACCTAATATCCAATCCACCAAATTATGGGTTGGATGGTGAGAATGCTCAACATCTTACAGGATTGGGTTTTATATGACCACTCAAGATGGCATTCTTTCCACAACTGATGTCCCAGACTCTGCTCACTCAGTTCTGATGTTGTGCTACTTTGTCACTTCCTGTCTTAAGCAGCTGTGTAGTGTTTCAGTGCCCCACTAAGCTCATTCCGTTCTCTCACTGCCTGAATTTTGGTGGTGGGTTAAGTGATCCCTATCAACGAACAGATAGTCTTTGTGAAACATTTTGAGATCTTTATTAATGAAAAGTGCTATATAAAAAATATTTTGCACTTATATTGTTTATATTGCAATATATGGATATGTTAAAGTATGGTTCAAATAAATTACATCAAGCCTGGATGTTGCTTCATTTGGTGGTTCAGTCATCTGGGAATCGCATTTTCTGCCCTAATCCTGGAATCCACATTAAAAAACCCAAACCAAATAAAACATCTTTTGCCACAGCTATTTCTCAGTTCAAATTGTACGGCCCCTGAGGCATTATTCAGCCTCAATTAAATTTGGAAGTGTACTTTGTGTCCTGACCCAGGTAGGAGTTCTGGGAAACATTGGTGGTATAGTAGGCCAGACAGTCTGGATAAATATGTACTGTAGTGTAATAGTAGCAAATACTCACCCCAACTCCCCAAGCTTCAGAGCCTGAGCTCTTGCTCAAGTCTGTGAGCCCAGAGGTCCGCTTCCATTTGCTCCAAAATGCTGTGTAGACATACCCTCTCTTCCATTACTAATCACCTAAACAGTCTGGCTCCCCAAACATCATGGCAGGGTCTAACTTTTCTCCCCTACTTTCCAATAACAATCCCTTAGATTAAAAATCTATGCAGGTGGCTGCACCGTCTGCAGTTTAAGACACTATTGAAAATGTGCTGTGCTAAGTATTGGCTGCCTTTGACTCTCCGGGATTGCTGCAGTGGGGATTCTGGATGCGTAATTAGTGAAAAGAATTCCAACAACTGATAGTGCTTATGTGTGAAGCTAATTAAGATTTCTTCAGGTTAATGAATAAGCCATTTAACAGTTCCAGCCTGTGTGTCTTCAATCAAAAAATAAAATTGGAACTACAGCAGAATATCCTTTTTGGTAACCGAAGAGGTACACGCAGGGCCAGATTTTCAAGTGTCCTGTAATTTTGGAGGCCCAGCTTTAAATGTGTAGGGGTCTGTTTTTCAGGTGTGCTGAACACCTACATCCCTGTTGAAATTTAGTTGGAGCAGAGTTGATTTCAGCTGGAGTCCCTGGCCTCAGCACATCTGAAAATCAAGCCCCAGGTGACTGGAGCTGGCAACACAAGAACCGAGCAACCCAAAATTAGGGGCCACTTTTGAAAATGTGGGCCAGGTTCCATGGGTCATAAGTTACATTGAAAGCAGAACCTATTAAGAGACTAAATTCTGGGGCATATGTTGATCTTTTGGCCTTATCTCCAGCTTGAACAGTGCCTTCCAAGTAGTTTTAGGGGTGTTTGCTCTGTCCAGGAATTTTCCCTGTGACATTTAAAGTGCACCACCGCCTATATCCATCCAAGAGAAGGGTTAGCATATTGTACCCAGGAAAGGTAAAGTCGACAAATTCTTGAAGTCTGTTTTGCCGATGTGAGAATTCTTATTAGGACAAATTTTAAAGTGCCATTTGTGACATATTGGGACATATGTGTATAAATGTTTGACAGTATATCTGTTTGATAGTAATCTGTCTGACTGCCAGGAGTTACATCAAAAGACACTGCTGAGGGAGAAACCCACAGGAAACAAAACTATAGCAAAGATAAGCTCCTTGAGGAGAAATGGCTGGGATCCATTCAGGTGAGATTTGTTTACTCTTCCCAAGGCTGAAACCTGGGATCAAAGGAGATCCAAAAGATCAAGGATCTACAAAAGGGAGATTGTTTGGGTGAGCTGAGAGGTTATGTCTACACTGCAATTAGCCACCTGCCGCTGGCCCGTGCCAGCTGACTGGAGTGCACCGGGCTCGGGCTGGGGTGCTGTTTCATTGCAGTGTAGACATTCCAGCATGGGCTGGAGCCTGGGCTCTGGTACCCTCCC